CCGCTCACAACTGGGGCTCCGGGGCGCGGGAACTCTCCTCGCTCCGGTGTTGAAGGCTCCTCTGGAGATGTCTTTGCAAATAACCGGTAGTGGCCAAAATGAGGACCCAAAAGTTACACCTAAAGATAGATGCCACCTGGGGAAAACGGGATGCTTAAAGAACTCTTCTGAGGGCCCTCTGCCCAGGTAAAACCACGCTTACAACACGACAAAAGCATGCAACACCTGTCAGACACCACTCAGGTTCATACAGCAGAGCAAGGCAGTTGCATGCTGACTCTTGACTGGGAGTCCCCAGTGTCACGCAGAAGTAGGAAAGAGGTTCCCAGAGGACAACCCCATTCACCATGTACAGAGAATGCTATGCTCTCTAATCTTCCTTCCACTTTACCACAAGTATTCAATTATATATATCAGGAACAATATATACTGTGAAGGGTTGAAGACTACCTCAAATCAGCTAGAAAAGCAAATCCAGCTTCACCCTTTTCACAGAAGAAGACACGGTGTTCTCAATGAATCGAATACCACGAGCTTTCTGTAGAGCTGGAAGTCTCTAACGTACAGGTATCCTTGTAACTCATCTGTCCGTTTCTGGAATATTGTGACCCAAGCTGGGAAGGCTTGCTGAGAGCCTGCTGGAAATCAAGAATCCTGAGAAGAAAGGCAGTTTTTTCTAGACAGCTGACAAAAACTATGTGGATGTGTTATCTGCTGCTTTTCTAGTTGCTTCTCTCCTGCCATGTTGGGATTTGGAAGCAAGTAGATGCTGGTTCTGAGTTCACGACATTTGGGATCATCCATTGTTATTCCACAGGATTCTTACTGTAATGTTTTCCATATCGATAGTTGCGACAACTCAAACACACTTCCTGTATTAGTGTGCATGTGTTCAATGAGTGTCTGTATAAGAGGCAGGCATGTGCAAGGGCACAAAAGCTCACTCTTACAGGCACAATTCAAAGGTAAGCATCCTAAGGCAAGAACAGCAGTTCCATGTAGCATTTTTGTCAAAACAATCCAAAGACTTAAGTGTCATTAGGGTAGAACACAGCAGAACTGCAAGAACACAGGTTTTACTAGAGTAGCCCCCAGAATAAACACAACTCCTCTAAAAACACCTCTTTTTCCAGCAGCCTGCTTGTATTGTGAGCTCTCTGGAAACAGAGCCTTGTTAAAATGGAAAAGGGCTACGAGAGCAGGAGAGAACAAGCATGTTGGTCCTGCAGTGTGCATATCAACCCTGCAGTCAGGGGAGAATGAAGACTGCACAGCACAAAACCAGAAGATGAACTATTTCACCTAACAGCTGTGGAGAAAGATTTGGACTTCAAATAGAAATACAAGCAAATAAACCAAACCCTACTTTGCCATGTGGAGGACAGTTATCCTTTGGAACAGTTAGGGGAAGACAGTGCTCTAGCCCATAACTGTCTCAACTCCAGTACCAGATGGTAAGGGACTACTGCCTGGAGCGACATACAGCCTTGGGAATGGCCTATTTGACCTCCAGAACTGAAGGATGACCCTGCACTCAAAGAGTGACATTGAAGTGGGGCAACAGGAGAATGCTGGGCCCTCAGGGCTGAACTCTGACACAAGACCCAGTTTCCATTCTGTCCAAACATGAACATCTTCCCCATGCCTGTTCCCAGCTCAACCTTCAGCATCTGCTCAAGGGGGATGAAAAAGACATTTCCATGGGGTCTGCTGGGTATCAGCAGTTCTTGACAATTGCTCTATGCAATTTTGATACCAAGAAGCATTCTGCACTGAACAGAACAGACTAGCCAGAGGCATGTGTCACATTTGAACAAGTCTTGGTCTTTCTAATCCGCAGCACTGACCAGTTCTCCATACTTCAGAGAAAGGGGAAAAAAGAAATCTTGCAGGTATGATAGAGCACTTAACAAGTTGTGCGATGTATAAGGTGCATGTAAGGAACATTAAGATCCCACCCAACATTCCACAAGGATACACTGAATATTAACAACCCCATCCGCAAGACAGGGCTGTGGTTTTACCCTGGGAGGGGGTGGGCACCTGAGAAAACAGCTGCCTTCTGTTCAGATGGTGGGAGAGATAGTGAAACGGGAAAGCAAGAACTTACCTTCACTCCATCTGACTTCTTGTTCAGCAGTCTTTTGGCAGCTGTAGGGAGAAGCAGAAGTAGATCAGATTTTGTTTTCAAGAATGTTCTCCTCCCCAACTCCCTCAAAACTGAGTAACTCAACAAATCCAACCTGATAGCAGAAGGTCAACTATCCTATCTGTTCATCTATGTATGCAAAAATGTTCCCACTTTCACCATCTCAAGACCACTACGACTGAAATGAGACTTTACAGTTCCTCTGTTTCAATCCTCCACTCTCACACTGTGACCCCATCCAGGAGTGCCAGCAGTTACAGGGGGAAGAGCTAAAGCAGTCTGCCAGATCTAAAGGCTTTACCCCCAAGTGCAGCCATTCACATAACAAACTTCGCAAATAAAGGGGGCACTAATAGGGCAGAGGCCTCCTAATTGCTGCTATTTGCAGTTACTCTGGGGGAACATCTGGACAGCTGAAAGGAAAAGCCTGGAAAAGCGAAAAAGGCAGAATCTGATAACAGTTAAAAAAAAAAAAAAAAAGAGAAAAGAGACAGGAACTAGGTTGAATTTCTTTACTGCTCTGCTGTGCTCAACTTAAACAACTGGCACTAGCAATGAAAGTGAGAGCGTGGTAAGTACAGACAGGGAGCCCACAATAAATGCTTGGCAGAAGGCACATTTGGGACTGACAAAGGAGCTGCTCCATCTATTACAGGTAAGTGGTATGTTGACCACAACTGTAGTACCCCATCTACAACCTCAAGAGATGTAAAACATAACTTGCCTACTCATGAAGAGTATCTTCAGTTGTTTTGACTTCTGTAAACAGCATTCTAGAGACCTACTAGACCAACACACTGATAATGCCTCTTCTACACAGCTGCTGGATTTTAGCTCCAGCAAAGACAAGGCCTAGAGAAAAGGCAAGTCTTAAGACAATGCTCACTGTTTAAATGCTTCAACTCCCAAAGAACGACATGCATGAGTTGGTCAGCATGGAGTGGAGTGCTCAGTCTTTCTCTAGAAGCAGCAGCATTAGGCAAAAATGGTCTTGCAATATCCAAGCAATTATTCAAGTTGCATGTGAAAAGCGTTTCCCTCCCTGCATTCCCTACCACACGACTCCACAGATAAGGACTGACTGGACAATATTAGCTGAGCTGGTGTAAATGGCGATATTATCTCCTCACAATAAAGAAGAGACATGCATACAAGTTTATTAGAATCTCTGAATTGGTCTTCCTAATTCTATTCGCTAATGAACGTGTAAAGTCAGACCAGGATTTTGCCTTCATTACTGCTGTCAGAAACCATCTAAGAACACAAATAACCTTATGCAGAGGCTGTCTGAGTGTTACCTGTCGAAACACAGTGCTCCAATGTGCACATGTGAAGGTGTGCAGACGAAGTGACCCAAGCAACTTATCTGTCCTGGAACAGTTTCTTTGCTGAGTGTATACATATGAAAGCATTGAAAGACTGAATCTAACAACTAAGTTCTTGCCACCTTCAAGGCATGAAGAAGACCAGCTTGATTCCACATGCAAGTGAGAAGAACAAGGTGATTACGGAGTCAAAAGGGGTCCAGCATTTATACCACACATACATCAAGGCATCTCACACAACAACTGTTTAAGACAACAAACTGTTATGGCCTTAAACACTTCAGAAGGAGTAGAGGTTTCTGCAACTTAACAAGTATCACAAATGGGACATCCCTGAAGGGGGGTGGAGGAGGATCAGAGAAGGAAACAGCACCACCATATGTTCTGAGAACGACCCAGACACAAGCCGGGAAGCAACATTTTTCACACTTTCTGCAGTTTCCTCAGAAACTGACATGTGTCTTTGTGGACAGAAAACCACTAAAATCACAATCTATGAAGTTAAAGCAAATTCAGCTGAGAGTCCCACTGCATGGCCCAGCACTACCTAATGCTGACCCAGTGCTCCCCAGCACAGTCTGCCTGTCTAGCCCCCTTCCCACGTTGTACCTCTGCACTGTACACAATGTGTTCCCACAGGCCTGTCAGCATCCCAGCGCTGCAGAAGGAAGCTATGTCTGGATTGTATTTAGTTCATGCATCATACTGTGGTTTGTCAGGACGACCGGAGAGTGCATGAAATGCATTCACATGCAAAGACGACTGCAGACACCTCAAACAAAAGGAAGGCATGTGTACATATTATGAGACAAATCACAGAGGATGCAATTGGAATTTCTGCAGCAAGCGACAGACAAGACTTCCTGTAACACCAATCATTTTAGAAGACACACAGCACCACCCAACATGCAGCTTAGCAATGAGACAGGAGGGGAAAAATCCAAGGACACATGAAGGCAGACTCTTAACTGTTCAGGAAGCGGTCTTGTACCCATGCTCTGCAGTTTTCCAGGCATGAGATACTAGTATTTATTTTCACCATCCTTAGCAGTTCCTTTACACCTTAAGGGGATTAAATTCCCTCTTCTCCGTAGTTAAGAGCTCCAGAGCTCCTCTATAATGAAGCAATAGAAAGGCACATGCTGCTAAGCCAGTAACTTAAAAGCACAGTTCTATTCTTGGTTTAACAAGACACCCTCCAGTTAATCTCTGAAGAGAAACACAAAAAAAGTCATCCCCTGCAAATGCCCCATATACCTCTCCCTCTTTCCACATTTGTCAGTTTTGGCCTCCATAGGAAACAGCCTGGGTTCTGAACCATGCTCCTGGCAGAAACACAAATCCCTAATTCTGAACTCATCAGCAGTAAACACTAGATCAAAGAGGGGGGCAGTGGAGGAGAGAATTTCCAAGAGGGACTGAAATACCCACTCCAAACACAGTCATGGATGATGCCTTCCCCCGTGTCAGCTCCACACCTCCTCTTCCAGAGGGAGCAGCCTGCCCTGGGTTCGCCCTGTCTACAGCTGTCAAATCTCAGTTATATTTCTCATCTCATTTAAGCTTCCAAAGAGTGGTTTCTGGGATGCAGGGATAACACTGAAGATGCTTTTATTAAGCTTGACTAACTTAAGATGCTAGTCTAGCAGACAAGCCAAGTTCTGGCTTCTAAACACAAGGTTTACACCACAAAGAATTCTAAGACTTTGCTAAGACTTGATTATTAGAATAAATATAGTATCATACCAACACAAAATTCCCAGCAACAGAGTTGCAGCTTGTCACCCTCATTCTCAGTTCAAAGAAAGTCAGATTAACTCATTCTCAACTCAGTGTCACTTCTGGGGCTCACCACAAAATAACCAACAGTCAGTATATAGCCACAAAGAGGCTACCATTACAAACAATGCCCATGACTGCAGTGTAGCAAGAACATCAATTTCTAAAGGACAAGATAGAGCAAAGACTGGTGGTTAACACTCTGCCACGATGGCTATTTAGGCACCAGTCATCCTAGCAGCAGCCATTTAAACACACCAGAGTGATTTCACAGAACAGAGGCGAGCTGTTCTCTTGTATTCTTTACCCTCGCTTTGGTTTCTGTCACAGCAGTCCCCTTTTTCTTATATTTCCCAATGACTTACTATGGGAACTTATTGCAATAGCAATTGCACAGGAACACTATGCACTAAGTGTGAGACAAATACAAAGACACCCTATTTGCATGGGATAACTGTCTGGCAGAATTTACAACATGGACTCTTGCTGAAAAGTTGATATTAAATTTTTTGTTAATTCTGCTTTGCTATTAACTCCCCCTCTGCCCCCTAAATGACACCACTGTTCCAGAAATGTACCTGAGCAATAGACAAGCAGCAACATTTAGCATTTTCCCCCTCAATGAAAAGCCTTCCATGAGGGCTTCTATTTCTCAGCAAGACTAGAGCGATTCTGTTCTAAGAACTGCTAAGGCACTGGCACAGGTTGTCAAGAGAAGCTGTAGCTGGCCCATACTTGGCAGTGTTCAAGGCCAGGTTGGATGGGGCTTTGAGCAACCTGGTCTAGTGGAAGGTGTCCCTGGATCTTCACAATCCTTTCCAACCCAAACCATTCTATGATTCTATGAAAAACAGTCAGTCACTTCTAAAGATTCTTTTCAAAACAAGCAGAGAAAGAAGGGTAGAACCAGGTGGAAGGCAGGTAATAATCCCAACCCATTAGGCAATGCAAGTCTTCATGTGATTTGGACCCACAGGATCTCTGGATATAGCAGACACCTCCTTTCCTATCCAATTCACCTCATCAGGCACAGCCACTGCCCAGCACTGTGCACATATGTCCAATGCTTTGGGGAAATCTCAAGGGTAGATAGTTTTCAAAGATGCACAATATCTCCCAGACATGCCCCAATGGTTTTCAGAGAAAGATTAAAAGAGGGAACATTCATTAAAACTAAAGCCTGAAATACACAACCCAGTGGTAAATACACAACCCAGTGGTGCCCTCTTGGCATGAGCCATGCACCTCCCAGTTCTCCCACTAGTGAATATTGGAGAAATTGTGTGAGAGCCTGGTGCTTTTTTCACCTCTGCCAGCCTCAGAAAACCAAAACATTCTCCAGCAAGACTATGTACAAAAAGCTAGCAACCAGGAGCTCACCTGACAGTTTGTGACATTTCAATTAATGTGTTCAAACAGCTTCCAACCAATGCAGAAATTTCACATCCTGAAAGACACTCTCTTTGAAACTATGCATATGAGACATGTACACACACAAACAAGAGCAGAACCTTAAAGCGTTGAACCAGTCTGAACTCCCATTCTAGACTTTTAAGCCTGAATGCCACTGTCTATCCCAATTTCAAGAGTTGATAAAAATGACATCGCTTCTTTTGCAGTATTACAAAACCTCAATTTCCTGACAAACCAAGAAATGAAGGGGTGAAGGGCAAACACCACAAGAAAAGGCATTCACAGAGTTCTTCTGAACTTTAGGGAGAGGAAGATAGAAGTAAAAGGAATTATTATGAAAATTTAAATGCACTTTTGATGATAAATAAGACTCTCAAGTCATGGTGATAAACATTTAAATGCAGCAATAAAATCCATATGATTCTGGGAAGCTGCGAAATAGCAGTTTACTTACTGAAGTGTATTACTTCAGCAGGTCCACTCTGTAGCAGTTGACCACCATTTGCTGAAACCCTTTAATATTTCTTAAGCAGTTTGGTAGATACAGAGAAATCACTTAATTTTTATTAAATGTGACCTCATCTTCTGCTTGGGAAATGTGGTTCCCAGTGATCTCATTTATTCAAAGCTCTCTGGAAACATCTCGATAAATGTTTTCTTCCAAATTTTCATCCTTTGAATTCACACCAGGAGGTTGGTGTTGACATGAGCCAAATGATACAAATTTCTGGTCCTGAATGGATAGCTATGTAACTAACACAACACAGCAGAAACTTCAAATATACTACTCACACAATTTTAACTTTACTTTGGTTAAAGGAATCAAATTCCAATCTGAACGTAAATATATATATATATACACACACACAAAATAGCAAAAATTCAGATGCACTTCTAGAAGGCAGGTATAACAGGACAGTGAAATATTTCAGTAGTATTTCAGTCTTTGTATTATTTCCTTTTTCTTGCTCTTTAGTCAGCTCAAAAAACATCTCTGTACAAGTTACACCAAATACACACAGGCATATTAAGCCCTTCGTTACTCTGCTCCCTCCAGCCTCTCTCAACCTCAACTATCTAGTTGAAAACCCAAACCTGCATATCAAAGAGTAAATAAGGATATAGAGACAAATGTACTGAATGCCAGCTATTGCCACAAGCTGCCATAATAGCTCCCTCACAAAACTGACTTGAGCAACCAGTGACAATTCCCAGGAAAAAAGCTCAGCATCAGTTAAAGATAAAGATTCAGGCATAAGGCTTAATTACTCTCAATGTCTGCCTTAGGATCTGCTTGGACACAGGGTAACACAGGACTTGTGCTGAAACACTTGAGAAAAGTGAATTTCATAGAGAGTGAAAAATCGTTGAACAACTCCTCCCCAAATGAACAGTTGCAATCGGGTTAGGAATATGGTGCTAAGAATTTCATTTAGTCCACATGCAAGTCTTGCATAAAAATGAACTTATGGAGAAAAGTCTCTTCTCAGCACATTGTGAAGATGGCAGTTTCTAATATGAAAACCAATTTTGTCCATCCTTTCACTCAGTTTATAGCACGCTTCCATACAGAGTTTTATCTACATAAATGAGATCAGGCACTCTTAAATACTGCCGCTATTGGGAATCTCTGAAAACCTTGCCAACTTTCTCCTAGTAATAAATTCACATTTACTTCTCAGAAAGTGATTTAGGAGTTTCTTGCATATGATCTAATCAACTGGTTTACCTGACTGTACTTCTGTATTCTGTAAGCGAACACAGCTCAGATCACCTGAACATCGCAAACCACAAGTGAGCACCCAAACTATCTGCTGTATACCCTGGTGTGACTATTAAAGATCCCACAGTGAAGTTTAGATTGCAATGTTCTCTCTTCCACCAGAACGTGGACAGAAGCTACAAAACCCTTACTATAACCATGTCTCAATTTCCTGACTTATACTGAAAGGAGTGCAACTGTATCTGCTTTTAACAAATAGCCTACGGCTGACCTGAGATTAAATCTTTCAAAAGGAACCACAAACAGCTAATATTAAATTGTTGAATATACCACAAGTGGGGAAGTGAGACAGATCACATCCCTTTATCTCTAGGAGCTGACCTGAGGCAAAAGGCACCTAAGCAAGCAACAGATTACTGCAAAAGAACAGATTTTTTTTTTTGCTTTGTAAAAAGTGAGATTTTTGCTGGGACAAATAAGAGAAGGAGCACTGCTACGGACTCCTTAGGCCTACCATTTGTCACAAGCTAAAAAACACACTGTCAAATGAAGGAACTCCACATTACAAAACGTGTGACAGAGGAGATGGTAATGACAACAGGATTAAAGTTGTCTTCTCATATTCCCTGCAGGTAGTACCATTGCGCCTAATTAATTGATACCAGGGTCACATGAGCCTTCATTTCCTCTTAGTTCAAAACAACTGTGTAGAAGCTTTTAGAATATCTCATCCCCAGACAGGAATAAGCTTCTATCTTCATACATCTAGTTCGCTGTCTGCTGGGAATGGGGCTTTTAGAGGCCCACAAACGTGTGTCACCAATTACAGAAAATAAAAACCCCTTAAGGTCTTTAGGGAAAGAAACAAGCTACTATTTCAGAGCATTTCTCGAGTAGTTAGATGACCTGTCATGATAGAAAAGGTCTGAGCTGTACCCAAAGTTCCCATGTGGACTTTCTAACTTTTTACTTTCATGCATGCCCTTATTCTTCAATTCCAGCAGATTTATGTATTTCAGCTATAACAATTAAGAAAATCTAAGTAAAACTAAAAAATAGTAACAATAAAAAGAAGTCAAGCTCATCTTACACACAGTCCTGCAAAAAAACCCAAGAGTAGCTGATCTCTCCACTTTCAAAACACATCAAAATATTAGAAATTGCTACTATCCACAGAGGCTGTAAGTACTTTGCAGCTAAATTCACAGTATTTCTGTCTGGACATTTTTTTTTGGAGCATCTCATTACCTGGTACCTCATTACCTCACAACTTATATTCAAAGCAGAAATCGGTGACACTAGCAACCTCGTACTCACTATGGGCCACTTCGGATTTCCTTTTCTTCAGCTGCTAACTGAAGCAGATCCAGCAGCTTCAGCCCTTGAGACAGAGAGGAATAAGCAAAGCAAGCCTTTTCCTCCTTGATACTAGCTCAGGGAATAAGTGGATGTATAGGTCACACACCATTAAGGAGAACCCTTCTCTCAGGCATTTCAAGTACTCAGAATCTGGGCCACAGGAGATTTTCTTACCCAAGCACTTCTGCAGCTTCATTAGAAGTGACAACATTTGCAGACTAAAAAAAGGAATCTAAAACTGCTGTTTAAAAAAAAAAAAACAACCAAAAAACCCTGAGTATTTCAGAATCATCAATTAAGTGATATAAAAACCTGCTGTGTGGACAGATCAAAAATGGTTCACACCAGCCCAAGACAATGTCGAGTTTTGTACAGTCCAGCATTGTTCCATAGCTCCTCAGTTGCTTCAGAATCATTCTCAGGAAACAAGATATATCTTTTAAGTCCTGTAATAGCACAATCCTGGGACAGGCGAATGGAGAAAATTACTCTGCCCCTTTAAGAATGCTGCCTTGATATCATAAAATAAGGTATATATGAATGCACACTTTGAATGCTGGGATGATCATTTCACAGAGGTTTTCATTCCAATTAGAAGTTTATTGTAATATCACCCAGAATGTGAGTATTGGTATCCACCATTAGTAAATGGCCAGATGAAATTAATACACTTCCATTTCATTCATCATCACTTATAATCCATACAGCAGTCTTTCACTTGAAAGTAGCTGTAGTCAGGTGCAGTAAAAATCTGACTCATGCATTCAATTATTGCCCTTTTTAAAGGTGGAAAAAAAATTACAAAAAGGGCAAAAGAAAGCAAACAACCCCACAAACCAACAGCACTTGCAAATAGAGGTTTTCCACCCAAATGGAAATGAACACAGATAACTGTATCACCTAGATGTGCTGAGCCAACACAATCATCTTCCAAAAAGCACCAATTTGCATGTTGAGATCTGCATTTTCAGTAAGTGCACTACGTAATGCAGTTGGGTGGGAGCCAAACTATCAGTTATTAAGCTTAAAAGGATGAAAACCACTTCTGAGACTCCAAGAAGGAAAATTCTAATAGCTAGGTGCTTCAGACCCATTTTTGATGAGTCAAAGTAACACAATACCCAAATAGCTTCTGTCCCTATTCTCACCAATATTATTACTTGCCCTCTGCCCCTACCTCAGGTCTAAGGGAATCACTGCTACTTAGTAAGATTTCCTGATTCCTGGCTTCAGAGGGGAAAGCTAAGAAATGCCAGCTAGTATCACCCAAAAATAATCTGATAAAGTATCTCCCAACTCACTCACACAAAACAAAACCAAGAAAGGGATAGAAACAATAAGAACTTACCTGAAAAATTCCGAGACACAAGCATCGTCGTGAGGATTGCACCCTGTGGGAAAGAGAAAGCAGGGATAACAGATGGTGTCACTCACTTCAGAGAGGAGCTGAGCTGGCCCATGGAGAATGCAGTGTGTCAGGTATCCCAGCGCTACTCTGGAAAGCACTAGTGTATCCAGGATTCCCGCACGTGGCTGTTGGACCTGACGGGACCAGTCGAAGTCCTGTCTTTCTAGAACGGCAACTAGGGGTAGCCTTGGAAATCTAAAAAGCACTAGGAATTATGCTTAGACACACAGTTGCTTCCCATCTTTCATACAGCAGATAGCTGCTTCATGCACAAGCCACAAGCTTTGCCCTAGTACAGACAACTGATACTGAAAGGCAGAGAGTGACCAGAACTAAAAGCCCAAGGATTTGAGAACTAATTGCTCTACTTCAACTCTCTTGCATAAAGTAGAAGGGGTGACTATGTAGCAGAAGAGGCATTGGAAACTTACAGCTTTGGAGAAAGAAACTACCCAGCTCCTCAATAAACTGCTTTAGTACCCTGTACTGGAGGACCACATGAGGTACTTCACTAATGTTTAGTGAACTAATCATTAGAAAAACACTGTAGCTAGGAAGACATTAACCTCAAATTCAGAGACTTAAAAACAAACTTAAGGCAAACTAACATATACTTACCTTTAGCTTCCTTCTAGCATTGAACTTTCTCAAGCATTCCACCGTCTCCTGCCTGTGCATCATCGAAGCGACAGTGGATCGTTGCTGAAAAACAGGAACAGCAAAAGATCAAGAACATACTCTAACCAAATCAGCCACAGGAGTTCGCGCCACTTGCACACAACCATGACATGCAAGCTGACATAGCTAAGCCTCTCGCCACTGCATGGCTGCAAAACACTGCCACCGGTTCATAACTGAAGAACTTCCCAATACAGCAAGACATGTTACGTCAAGGCTGGCTATTATAGGACTGTGCCCAAGAAACTCTATGGCTGAGGTATAGGTGAGAATCAATGCTTCCTGTCTCTCAGGTACACAAATGGACCAAGACAGTATGACAACAAAGTCAAATGAACAAGCTTATCCATGGCAGACTGAGTTAGAGACCCTACAGAAAGGATCTGGGTTGCATTAGTTATGGCTCTAAGGGGAAATTCCAAGTGGTAAGTGAATACTAGTGAGCGGTAGCCTTCCTGAACACGGCAGCTCCCTGAATCTAAGTGCTTGACTGGCAGAGGCCTCGGCATCTTTGCATCAGATTTGCAGGAATAGATTTTCAGTGTGCAAGAAGAAATACATAGCTCTATTGCACCACTGCAAAAACCTGAGCGTATAACCTCTAGCCAGTGATGCACACCTGTCACCACAGCAGACCGGGATCGCATCAGCTGCAAAAGAGAACTTCCCAGAAGCGTTGCCAGTCACTGAGAGCACATGAGGAAACCAGAGACTGATGCTGCCTGGCATTTAGAGCACATGAGGAAACCAGAGACTAATGCCAAAGTAGCTGTTGCTCTTGCATAGAGCCACAAGCCTGAATTCCCTTTACAAGGACAGTGGGTGAAGTACTAACTTGGCAGACGAGTGTGTACAAACCCTCCATTACCGTTCTCCTGCTTGGAAAAAATTCTGCAATACCCAAAAGAACTGTAAACCGTGTTCATATTCAGCTAGTTTCATGGGAAGTCTCTGCTTTGATCCTGCCATCAAAGCTGGTCACCTGTTGCAGTACACACACCAGCACGGAGGCAGAATGTAGCTAAACTGTCCTCTAACAGCTTTGATGGTCACTGTTCATCCAGCTTCCTTCGGAGTGACAGTGATGCCCTGTTTTTCAGTGTGGGCTCACAAGAGTCAGGACACACAGTTCAGTGATGTTAGGGAACTCGGTGTCTCGGATAAACTGTCAAGATTTCCTACTACATTCACATCAGAGGAGCAATACGTCTCCAGAAAGAAAAACGCATGTTGCACACACAGACACTGCAGAGCGAATGGAAAGAAGAGACTAACAGGAGTCAGTTTGGGTGAGAGGCTGAAATGGCTGTGAAGTGAAACTGAACTCTGCATAACTCAGACAAGGAAAGCCTCTCTTGAACTGTTCTATATTATGTTGCCACAGGGAGCGAGCTATCGTAATACATACCAGCTTTGGTTACAGGCACTGGGACAAAAGTTAAATATACAGGAACTGCTATTAATTACAAGCACGCAAGGAGAAAAAACACAGAGATGCAAAGCCTCAGCTAGTGTGAAGTTTTGACTTCCAAGGAACTCGCGTCACTTTACAGCAGACATCACTCCTGTTACACAGATTTTCACATAAGTTTAAAATCCTGATCTGTTGTTTTGTGGTGGAAATTAAAAACCACGATCATTTCTCAAGAACAAATGGGCAAATGAACACACTAGGCACATCCTAGAAAGCAGAAGTCTGCTACGGTATTACAAGAACATCTGGTTAGACTTAGGTGGAACTATTTCATCCCGCAGCGATAAAAGTACACCATTGCTGCCCTCCCTACACCCACTCCCACTTGCATTCTGGGATTTCCTTGCCAACTTTGTATAAGATGAAAAGTACTTGTGTGTGGGGTCTGTCAAGGCAGAAACTACATACACAGAACAGCAACAGCTCTTCAGTGGATTTTAAGTTTACAGCCAGTTAAGCTGCAGCACAGCAGAAATGTTCCAACGTTGCAAAGGTGCAATGCCATAAACTGAAGTAGAGATGAAGAAAAAAATAATCCTCAAATATTCTGTCTGATGCCAAACTTCCTCTGACATTTTAGGATAATACAGACTAGAAGAAGACATGTGGGGAAAACCAGAAACTATGGACATTCACAAGACTTCTAAAAGAATAAAGGACTTTTTCCCCTACAGTGGCAGTAAAAGTACCACAGTATAACAAAGTTGGCGTGTTGAAGTCCAGCCTTATAAAAATATATAAATAAACACAATTTAAAATATTTTAAATATTCTGGGTTTCTCTGCAGCAAAGTCTTCTTGATGTGTTCGTTCAGGGTAAACCACTACTCAGTCTGTTATAGAGGAAAGCACTTACGCAGACCCATGGATGTTTAAGAGCCTGGTCAGCTGTGATGCGCTTTGCGGGGTTTATCGTCAGCATCTGGTTGATCAAATTCTTTGCTTCGGGAGTCACAGTGTCCCACTCGGGTGATGGGAACTGAAAGAGGAAGAAGGAACAGATGAAGTGAAAGTGTCTTCTACTGGCGGAAGAGATTTTCCTTCCTGCACAGTTCAATTCCAGCTTTTGCCCGTTTGATACCAGGGCTGACACATTTGCAAAACAGAACTCTGAAAACCCACGCTGAACAAAAATTGTACAGAATCCAGTGAATGAATGGTACCAGACAGCAGGACACAGCTGTACCATTCACCAGACACAGGCAGGGAAATTATCAGTTTAAAAGCTTTCTAGGAATCACTCAGACCTTTGAATTTCTTTCACCTCAACAGTCAAAAAACTGAAGTCACAGCTCTTTTTAACTGCCTTCCGACATGAAAAACACAAGCAGTATCTTTTTACCCCACCTTGCTCTTTCTCCAGCATGCTAAAAAGCTGTAACAGCATATGCAAAATCATAAACACTTAACTACAGCAAAACCTTCTGAAAGCAAAAACTGCTAACAGAGAACCCATCAGGTACACTTTCGCCACCACAGAGCACAATATCTTGGAACAATACCAGTCACTTAGGTGTAGCATCCCACCAGCAAGCTGTTAGCAAGCATCTACTGTACCAGAAATCATTACTTGGGGACCAAGAGAGATCTAATAGTGGATGGGAATACAGAAGCATGGAAACAAAGAGAAGATTCTCAGGTATTTCAGTTACCCATGAGAGGTAACTGGTCTCTCCTATAATTCCAGTAATGATAAAGTGAATATTTACACCATCCTTCAGATGCTTGCATGTGGTGTAGGTGACAGCTGGGATTAAATACAGTACATCTCACTTCTATGAATCTACTGTACAAACACAGGTGAACTTGAGAACACAAAGATAAATGTGCTGTTGGGATAAAGCCCCCTGTCTCTAAGGGGAGGGGAAAGACTGATCCATCCCAATAACACTTCCTTACAGTATTACATTATTTAGAAAAAGTTTATCCCATCTCTTTTCTCATGCATTTTGTGCTTTGTTCAGTTGGGACATAAAAATACACCACCACATTTGTTTCACATATAATCCTATTTCTGCATCCTTGGGCATCAGCAAGGCATTATACAATTTGTTCTGCAAACATTGCAAGAGACAACTCAAAACTTATGATACTGAGCTTTCAAGCCAGGACACGTTCCCCCCACCCAAACTCTGAAGTATTCATGGTAATGCCTTGCAAAACCCCTACCCAACAGCACAAAGTCCAATTCACAGTTACCACTTCCTCTATGATCAAGAGAGAACAACAGACCAGCCTGGTGCACACTGGCCCGTTGGGGTAAGGACACCAGGGGCAGGTACACCAGTAAAACTTGAGCTGTTTTCTACTAGGTAAAACAGAAGAGGAATCTACTGGAACTTGTTCATTATTGGTAAGAATTCAAAAACAACATTTAGATGGGAGGCATCAGGCACTTCACTCCTCATGACTTACAGAAAGAGTTAGACATTTAACCCTTGAAGTGCTTTGAAAATCCCCATCAGTAGAATTAGTGCAAAACCACTTCAAATAACAAGCAACACAGAAACAAGAGGGGCAGGAAGACAAGAGAATACAAGTCCATTTAAGGCTATCACTTTCCTTTCACTCAGGAAGCCGCTGAGCCAGGACACAGGGTTAGGCAGACCTTTGTTCTCACCCACATAACCGCTCTCATGGTCTCAGGCACAGAAGCTGGGAGGCAACGGGGATCCAGCAGAACCCTTGCCTTTTCTTTTTTAATACAAACCACAAGACAGCCTACAAAGCAAACTCCCCAACTTTTGATATTCATGCCTGCAGGCTTTAAGCTAGAATTTCCAGGAGTTCCTTTGTCCCTCCCAAGCCTCTCCTTACATAGAAGAATTTATGTCAAACATTCAAGCTATGGTACCCAAACCACATTTTACACCACTTTGCTCCCAAGTACTAGCCTCCTTGCTATTCCTCTCCTTCAGGCGCCTTTTACACCTCAGTTTTGCCTTGCTCTGAAAACTGTTCCACGAACTGCTTGGCTTTTTACCAGAGCCTCCAACCCACCAATGCTGATCCCCACCACAAAGCCACCCACTCTAAAGGCCCCTGCCTTTCAGTTTTCTCACTGGGCTCCACGCTTTCCACTGCTGGAAGAAATTCCTCTATGGCAATGAGGAGACCAGAGGCCAATTTAAGCTATTAGTCAGAATACTTCCCCATACTTTTAATTAGGCCTTGATAAAGACAGACTCCTTCATTCTACCTTCCCTCTGCTCCCCTGAAAGAATTAACGTCGGCTACATCTGCAGCACTTCGTGGTAAACGCACTAGCGGACACACCATTTCCCATCATCTGCATTTCCAGCTCTGCATCTCCCTAATGACCAGCAACATCTTGGTGCCCACTGCAATGTTTCCACATATCCTTTCAGAAGCCCCAAACAGGACTGTATCCCAGGCAGTGAAGACAAGGTGTATGAACACGCCAAACATCACTTTGCACAGTAGCTTGGGGCCTGCCGCTAAACACCAAGTAAGATAGTGCCATGTTTTGAATGGCTTCTACACCCATGCAGGTACTCAGCAAGAAAGTGCCCTTACGTCATAGGCTCCGGCTTTGATCTGCTGATAGAGTTTGTGCTGATCTTCATCCCAAAAGGGAGGGTACCCCACTAGTAATATGTACAGAATCACTCCTGGGAGGGAGAGACACAGATACACTATGGTTAGGCTAATACGCCAATTATTCCTTCAGCCCCTCTTCCTTCCCTCCTGACAGTCCCCACGGTACTGACTGCTCTATATCTTCATTTGCCATCATATTTAGTCTTCTGAGGTAGAGAAAGACAGTGCAAACCTCTCCTCCTCTGAACCTCACCCTGGCACTTCATGTGCCAGAAGCTAGAACGAGGTGCATGATGTTATTCTATCCTCCTCTGGCTATCATGGCTGGCGAGCCACAACTCCCAGCTACAATCAGAATAAAATGAAGCCACATTCCCTGGGGCTGCTGGGCAGCAAGGGACTTTTAAGAAGGACTACAGTTTTAGATGCTTACTGTGCATGATCTTGGGACAAAAATGACACTGCCAAAGCTAACACTCTTGGCCTGCAGAGAAACATTTAGTCTATGTCAGGCAACACTGACATCACGTATCTTTAAACTTATCAGTCCCAGATACATTTAGACTTCATTTTTTCCTTTTAAAAAAAGTCATCTCTCTTCAGAATTTCATCTGCTACATAGTTAGAGTAATAGGAAATTGCTCCAGTTATCTAAACAACTGACTCTGCAAAGCATAGACAGGCCCTATCTCTTGAGTCTCAAACATCTGATAGGTGGCCTGAGGAAAGAATTAGGAGCCAAAATCAAATGAGTTCAGGCTCCAGTATTAACTCCATCTACACAAGGTGCTTATCCTCAAGTGTGCCTTCATCTCTCCACCCAAGAAGGAGCACTGCATACCCTCCCAGCAATAGGTTATAAGGAATTGCTCTTCTACAAGAAACGGTGTTGTTTAATAGTAAAACGCTTTGACAGAATCTTACCACATGCCCATATATCCACTGGTTTTCCATAAGGATCTTTTCTTAAGACTTCGGGGGAGAGGTAGCCTGGAGTGCCAGCAAACCCTGCCAGGAAATGGATGACATGAAGTACTTAACAGTACCCAAGCAGAAGAGATCTTGCCATATCATAAAATCCACTAGTGGTAACGAACAAATTCCAAAATCCATTTCCCACCCTTCATTTCATATTTGCTAGAGCTACCTCTTGGTAAACCAATAGAAAGGCAGGCAGGGAAAAGGGGGAATCAGATGGGATTGAGTGTCTATGCAGTGCAGGAAAAACAGAAAAGAGAGAGATCATGTCAACCAGCTGGGCACAAACATGCCAGGCCTTACATCACTGTTATATATAATGGCTTGGTGTTTGAAAACACAAGACCCAGTTGGAACACATTTGATTGTGTTCCAAATGGTGAGGGCAGACCAGGAGCAGCAGCCATCTCTCTAGAATCTCCACAGCACTACAAAGTCTTAGAGCTGATGTTTAGCCTAAGAAGGTCTCATTTCTGATTATGTTTTAGCTAAACAAAGATAAGGCCAGATCCAAATGTGCCTGAGGAAGGCCAGGTCAAACGTGTTTCTCTAAAATGACCAAACGAATTCCAGATGTCTACACTCCCGAGCAGTAGGAAAGTTCAGATCAGGCTCTAAACTTAGCAGCTGCATTCATCTCCGGCACCAGTATCGACTGTAAACCAAGAACAGAGAAATACACAGATATTTTTTCTGTCTTTATTTTCATATTCTTTCCTCTATTGCACCTAGGCTCGTGCCCAAGGACCCAGAGGCTGAGATGCTTGGAAAGGAAGAAGCAATGCCAAATACACACAAGTATGCTGGAAGAGCTGAGAGAAAGTATTCAGGGAGGGTGCAACTTCAACCAGCTACCAGGAAAGGGGGGAGCAAAAGTGGGAAAGGTCAAACAGTCTTACCAAACCAGGCCTGCTGCTCTCCCTGGACTTCTATAGCCAGCCCGAAGTCAGCCAGTTTGACAGCAGCACCCTTACATTTACTTGCCAGTAGTAAATTCTCAGGCTGGGGAGAAGAAAGAAAAAAGGGGGTAAGAATGAAAGACTGACACCCTTGTTAAATCCTCCTACCTCACATCATTGAATTCAGTCTGCTGACAGAATTTAGCAGGCTTGTACTAAAGTTGTTCAGGTGAAGACAGAGCAACAGAAACAAACGGCCCTAACCTACAGTGGCAGAAAATCCTGAAGCCTAACCCAAATGCCCTGTGGGAGCCAGGCGTCTCCTCACCCAGCCCATACATTACATGCTGACACCAGAGGGCACTGGCAGTACGGTTCCTGCAGCACAGAATCCAAAATTTGTTTCTGTCATCCCCGCAGAGAGTAATTGGGGGGCAGGGGGAAGAGATGCAGTAGATACAATCTGCAGTGATGTTTCTCCCCATGAACATTACACAGTCCCCAAGGCACTGGAAAAGTAAATATGATGCTAATAACGGCTGCCAAATACACCACTGTAATGTGGGAAGGCATCATCTAGATAGTGAGTAGCTTTCATCCCTTACAGAAAAAGCCTCAGCCTCAAATTGGCATAAGCAGCACAGCAGTGAGTAATCTTGTAAGCTGTTTCTTCATGCTATGTATTTACAGCAGCATAAAATATGCTGTCTTGCTACTGCTGCCATTGCATATACAACAAGCAAGTGTGCCACTTCCCCCAAGTGCCAGGAAAGGGAGACTTTTGCCCCACAGAAGTCCTCCTTTCCACCTCACACAAATCTCCCTCTAATCATAATTCTGTTGTGTTTTAGCAGAGGACTTCAGCAGAAGGCTTAACTCCAAAAATTGGACTGAGATTCAGCAGCTTCCTCTGAAGCACAAAAGCAGCTAGTTACATGGGACCTTTTGAAACCCCAAGGCCTTTAAGATGGTGGCTATTACACCTCTGCAGGAAATCCAACTTGTAGACAGGCAGGACAAAAAAGTGATTTCTTATCCCAACCCCTTGTGATAATTTGTGCTATTCATATCAACTTGAGTTTTTTAACCAAGCAAGATGGAAAACTGGAAATCCAGAAACAGGAACTTGTCTCAGTTTCAGAAATCTGATGAAGGTTTTTTTTTCGCAGCCTGCTCACCAGTTTCATTCCTCAACAACCCTCTATGCCTGTTCTGCCTGGCAGGAACATGATGCTTTACTCATTCACCTGCTTTACAGTACTGGGCACGTGCCTTGCTTCTGCTTTGAACAAAGGGAGAACAGCCTTGCCCATCACAGTCCTTGCCATGAGCAGCATGGAAGGAGGGGGAACTGAGTCTCAATACTTTTGGATGCCATTGGCTTTTTACTATATGGGAAGCAGAAAAGACTGTGTTAATCAAGCTACAGTGATGAAAATTCACCAGTGTAAACAAATCCCTCAAGTGGAAGACCAATGACACCTGAAAATGTCTCCCAACTTCAGATCACACCTGGGCTTGGCGACCAAGAAACACTGAAATTTAGGCCAGGCTTCTGCTAGCTGAGCAGTACGTGCTTCTAAAATACAGCTACAAGCACCTTAAGGCTAATGGTGCTCATTCATGTGAATGTTTGCCAACATATATATGGGTTGTCTCAGGTTTCACATGCCTTTTGGTAAGGATGTGAATGAATTCCCTAATTTCTTGCAGTCCCTATGGGCAGCTCAACATTTGAAGGCCTTTAAGAGCATGTTAGCCAAAAGACAGGCTTATGAGAGGGAGGTGCAAAAGACTTCACTTGAAGCAAGCTCTGCAGTTATTACACACTGATCCTGAAGGCCAAGCTTTTGGCAAGGAGCTAAATATTAAATAAAGAGCATGGGATCTTTTATTGCTAAAAGGAATGGCTGCTCTTCAGGCCTGGATAGCTTCAGTGAATCAGAGCAAGCAACAGAAGAAACACATTAACTACAGTGGGGAGTGTCCAGCAGCTGATAAGTTCTAAACAAGTTCACAACTTTCAGACAAACAAAACCTGGGAAGCATAAGAGATTATATCTGAACACAGGATGCAGAGGAAAACTTAAACCATCCTGTACTGGAAAACACTACTGATACACATAGGGGCCCTAATTTTGAGCAGTAGTGCCTCTTGGAGGCTGCTTTACCAAAAGAAGGTGTCAGGTCTAATCCAGAGCAGCCACTCCTCAATAGATTGCTTGCATCTTTTCACAGTGCTCTGAATCAGAAGGCCAAAAATGTTGCATGGGAGTTTGCCAGAAACACTAAGGGTTAACAGCTGTCCACTAGATCTAAACACTGGGGGAACACTGCCACCAAGCTTGCAACATGCTTCTACCTTGCTCTCTGCAAAGTATTTTTATACTTTTCCCCTTATGCAATGTATAACAAACCAAAACCAGCACTAGTAGCACGTGTCATCCTGCATTAACTTAACTGGACTGCTGGTGGCCATCACCATTCCCACTTTAGACAGAGTGGGCTGCAGGGCAGGCAGACCTTCCTGCACAAAACTCTTCATTCTGGAGCCTGCCCAGCTCCCAGTACAGCTGCCACTGCGTGGGAAGGGAGTTAAAGCAACTTACACTGCAGGGGCTCTGGGTCTATAAATGTTATAACATGGCAAATGGTCAATTGACCCGGTGTTTAACTGGCCAGCATTTTTGGGTTTAGATTAAAAGAGCTTCTACTGATGGGAGAAGGAAGAAATGAAGTGAAAAATTCTTGTTGAGCAGCTCTGCCCTAGCCCAATGGCATGTGTTTGGCAACAGTGCAGAACAAAAATACACATGCTCTGTGCAGACAAACTCAACCTGGCAGATTGAACAGAGATTGCCTCAGGTCTCTAGAGATCTCTTCAATGGCAAACTAGAAAGTGTCCTTCATTACAATGAATCCTACCCAAGTTTCTCTGAAAGTCTGCTGCACTCCAAGGTTCACAACTACTCCATCCTGGAGCTGCCTCAGAGAGGCAGACAGCTGGCAAGGCTCATGAAGACTGAGAACTTCCTTGGGAGTTCAGCACACCCTCTAGAAAACTCTGAAGGAACAAATTTGTGCTTCAGGAACCCCTGAGCCCTGTTCAAGTGAAAAAATCCTGCCAGCTGGCAACATGGTATCCCTGTCTTGCCTCTTCCAACGATCCCCTGGCTGCTCTCCTCAGCCTTCATGGCACGGAGGAAATATTACCTTCAAGTCCCTGTGCACGATATCATGCTGGTGAATGTGATTCACACTCTCCAGTATCTGATGAATACAGTGGCTGCAAGATAAAGGGAAAGATACAGAGAGTTATGCACACACACATACACTTGGCACCTCATCTTATCCCAGAACTATTTCCCTAACTTTCATATTTGTACCAGGGACAGTTCAAGACCCCAGGCTGAGTCCCTTCATCATGCCCACTGGATGACACAGCTCAGTACCATCACAGCTGGACACTCCCAGCTCTTTCAGCACCAGGATGCTAAACATCCTATCTATAGCGGGGCCACAAAGCCTCCCTCCTACCTCCCATCATCTCCTTCCTTTCCTCCCCATTACACTGAGCATCTCACTTGTCTCTTCAGCCAACAGTGAGCACCCCACACAGGAGAACGAGGCACTCAAGTGTCTAGAAACAGCAGCCAAAATTGGGTAAGCAAGACCAAATCACTCCAGGAAACATTCAGCTGGGCTAGTCCTGAGCAAAGAATAAACTTTCAGAGAGCAGCAGCCTCCCCCAACAAATTCAGGATGACGACTCCTGGGTGCCTGCCAGTTTGCAAAGCTTTCAGAGCAGCATCTCAAGCACTTTACATACACAATGTGCACACACCCGCTTGCTGGGTGCCTTTTAAGTACAGATCCCACTTAAGGGGTTAGTGATCTGAAAAGCAGACTCATTCCCTGTTAAGTGCAGTATGCTGCACTCCTCTAGCTCACAGAAAACCCCATCTCTGCCACTCTCACTGCTGCAACCACAGGGGCAAAAGCAAGATGTTATTTACACCTGTCGCTTAAGGACACTGCAACACACCCATGGGCGAGATTTCTGGTTGAAAACATCTCTTTCACTAAGCATTTACTCAGCTCCCAAGGGTGAATATGGAATGTAGTAGGCATTCAGACAACTATGGCTGGGCAGTAAGCACCCAGATGTGGGCAACTCGGGTGGGTCTGTGTCCTCACTGCAGGATCAGTCAGTCCCCTCACCGAATTCTACAAATCTCAGGGGAACAGATTTGAAATGAGTGAAATATTTGAGGGAAGAGAAATTGGCTACTGGAAAAGATGGGAAGAGGGTGACAGGAGGAAGGGAAGACGAGGTGCGGCACTGCGTATTTGCTACCCCCACCCCTCCAGAGCTGGCAGCACAATCCTCAGGGTCGGAGTCCGTGAATATCTCCCCGCTCCCAAAACAAAAATGTATAATTAGAACAGAGCCGAGTCTGAGCGAGGGAGATTTTCTGGCCAAAAATGGCAAAAGTGTGAGGTGTCCCAGGCGAGCCAAGCGCAGCGGATTGGCACAGACCTCACTCCCTCGCTCTCCCAGCCTGCTCTGGAATTCAGCTCAGCATGGGGAGAGAAAGGGAGGAGTTTCACTTTGTCATCTTGCGGGCACTGTGAGACCTGGCCAGCTGACAGTCAGAGAGGCTGAGCACCCTGAGGAAGTCTTGCAGAGAAACAGACTGTTCTCCTCTTTCCTTAGCCCTGCCATAATTTTCCTGAGCAGTGCTGGTCAGTGCCAGCTCTTGACCATTTCAGGGAACAGGCGCTGGCAAGAAGGACAGGATGAAGGATGGTGATTGGTAACCTCAAAACTTCCCAACTTCAGGGCAGAACAGCTTGAATTACTGTGTATCTGTCTGAGATGCTGTGCCTATAACGTCTGTACAGCCCACTGAAAACATCTACAGGGCTCTTGGACCTCTCTGCCACGAGCTTCATCAGAAATGACGAGCCCACTGGCCTTCCCTATCAGCAGATGGCTCACGATGGAGTGCATGGTGCAATGCCTCACTTGAAAGCATCATGCAATGCCTAGAAGATAAAGGCTGTAAGCGTACATGAGGGAAAACAAATAAGTGCCCGCAGATTTCACTAACACACCGGGTCATGCTCTGTCCTTCCTTGCACTCAGTATGATCTTCTTCACAGTACAGCCTACCAAGCTTACCCTGGAGCAGCACCCACTGCTCTCTTCTTACCCCTCTCCTCTTACAGTTTCCCTAATTCCTGTTCCAGCAAGGGTTAGGATCAGATAAGAACATGGGTGCAGAATAAGCTGAGGTGAAATGTCACCATCGTGCCACTCCCAGACCCTGCTAAAGCAGAACAGGAGCTGCTTTATCCCAGCTTTGATTCCAAACACTGCATGTCCAGCAGATGGACAGGTCAAAGAACACCCTCAGCTACTGCAGAAAACATTGACCCAGCATAAGCAGCAAAGGGATAAGCACAGGCCACTTCAGGAAGCTCACGCATGGGAGAGAGGGGACACACTCTGAAAAAGAACTCTAAATCTTTTTACGTTAAAACATAAAGGCTACTTTCACAAGTTGTTCCTTTTCTCATTGTGCCAACCAGCTCACAGACAGGACTTTCACAGAAACACAGCCTTCAAAGCCCACTCTCCTCCCTGCCCCATCACCTAGACACAGGCAAACTGAATGGGTCTGCCCGGCAGCAACGGCACATCACCGGAACCCCTGCTAGAGGTCAAGCAGGCAGTGCTCGCACAGCCACAGGCCAGCTCTTCCCAGCACTTGGTCGCCAGGGACACACTGTCACCACCCACCGGAAAGATCAGGCAGGCAAAGCCGCTAGCAACGGGTCTCCCAGCAAAGAGCACGGCGTCTGCAAGTGGCAAAGGCAGCAGCGCTGCGCAAGCAACAAGGGCTAGAGCTGTGGTGAGTCAGGCTGCCCGGTGACAATGGTGTATGCTAATAGCTGAAAGGGGAATTTCGTTTTCCAGATGGGGAACAAGAGCGTCAGAACAAAGCCACGCACAGAACAGGAGTCAGGAAACTCACATTGCTTGCCAACACACGTGGCACACACACGGAAGGGTCTGGAAACAGTCTTACCTGGCATCTGCTTCACTGTAGTATTCTCTGGCAACAATATCCTCAAAGAGCTCCCCACCTGTAACCCTGGAGTGCAAAACAAGGGAGGTTACAGAGCCTGTGCGTGTCTAGCTCAAGACTGCACAGGGCATATGCAGCCATCTGTCTGGGCTCTTTCCAGCAGCCTGTGTGGGGACCCGCAGCACAGGGGAGCCAGGGCAGAGCTCCACCACTGACCTGAAGCACAGGGGAGCCACGGCAGAGCTCCACTGCCATGGCACCTGCACTGATACGTCCATATGACTGACCCCTTGGACTGCCATTTCACCAGCAGTGTACTGTTGGCACACTGCACACAAATTGTCCATGTGCCTCTACAGAGCTTAGCATATGCTAAGCTTGGGTGAAACACTTCTCATCGACCCCCTCCGGGCTGCCTCAGAGACAACAGTCGAACGGCCTCCCTATACAGGATAGCCATTCTTTGCTACCCCACACCTGCACCTGCTGCCACGAGCCTTCCTGGTCCATCCCCTACCACACAGTCAAGGGATTCTGTCAAATAGGCCAGAGGTATCTACAGGTCTCTAAAGAGAAAGGGAGAATTATACTAATGCAGGTGGTTTTTATTCCACTCTTAGTCAAGCATCCACGTGCCTGTATCACTGGTGAAGCATCAAAGGCAAAGACAGACACTTACAGATCAAAGACGAGGTAATGGAAACCTTCTTCTGAAATACTGTCATGGAGCCGCACTGCAAAAACATAATCAAGAAATGGAGATTTACAGAGCATGTAGCAAATATGACCCTTAACAAATCAAACCCATGCACACAGCCAAGTTCTCCCTCAACCCGATCAGTCTATTAATTCCCCATGCCCTTCACTTTGTGTGCTCACTTAGTGGCCTATTTCCTTCCGTTATCTCAAAGGAACAGATGGGTGTCCTTCACATACACCCACCCCTTCCCAGCGTCAAAACAAACTCTAAATATCTTTGACCTCCTGTTCATTCTCCTTCTCTAACACTTCAGTACCCTCCTTTTCACATCTGCCTACTCTTTCCTCCATGCTCATGTTTTGCCGTTTCTCCCCACCCATTCTTATTTCCCAAAACAAACCATTTTCAGAATTTCCAAACAAGCTCTCAACCCCGAAATTGACTTCCAATGTCAACTGCATATCAGTGCCATTGATGTCTCTTCTGCTTTTCATGTCAGTTGAAGTTACTTCAACTCCATGAAGTTCCCTTCTTCCTTTTCCTCACTTCATTCTGACTTACACTCCAAATACTTACACAAAATTCAGAGCCAGTTCCTTGTCTCATTTTTTTTTTCTGATCTGTTACAGACATATCTGATCCATTTCCCTTCTCACAGTTTCATTCTCCTTCAGCTTTCCTTACATGTCCTCCCCCTGAGTTCTGCTCCTGTTGCCTAAATTAACCTTCATCTTTTCCCATTCCTTGTCCCCTGTAACCTGCAGGACTGAGGCTGCCTCCACAGGCCACTGTCCCCTGGCATTCTGAGATCTCCAGGGCTCTGTCCTGCTTTCCCCACATTACACACTGGCAATAACTATTATATCTATGCAGCCAGAAGAGTCTCATTTCTTCCTGTCTGAAACAAAATCTCAACTTCTTTGATGTTAATTGAACATCCAGGCACTAATTCTAACCTGGGAAGAAACAAAGCCCTTGATTTCATATTGCTACCTACCCCCTACTCTTTGCTTCCTCCCCTGCTGGAAAACATCATTATTTTCCCTGCCAGACTCACAAGCTAGCAATCCTAATTGATTCAATTCCTCAACCTTCACACCCTGACTAGGACTTGTTGTTGTCTTCACATGACCATCTATAGCCTTCCCCCGTTGATTCACACAGCTGAAGCACTTAGCTGAGACTAGACTGTGTCTCAGTCACTGTAACACCTTTTAATCGAGTATTGACCAAAGTAACATTACTGTTCTCTTCCCTACAAGAAAAATCTTGTTATCCTGCTTGGTCACTTTAATGGTACCTTTGCCTCTCTTCCCTGTCTTCCAGTCTCTTCCACATAAAATACAGGTGACCTGTCTTGACTTTTCTCAACATAACGATTTTTTCTCTGCCAGTATTAAGAGGTCAGTTTGCACCTCTTATTGGTGCATGACATCAGCTACCATCACCGTCTTGGGAATGTTTCAAACTAGCACTTGGCACACACTCTTACCTCATATGGAACAGCTCTTGCAAATGTTCTCAATGCTCTCCCCTCAACCCTCCCTGAAACTCTCCTTTGCTAAGGTACCCTTCCACATGCACACAAACACACACGAACTCAAAATTGAGAGTAGCACTGATGTAAAGAGTCCACTGCCGGTACCTTTCCTAACAGGATTTCATTCTTTCCTTACGCTTTCTGCCTATCCTTTCCTGTATTTTTCCTGCCTTTATCTACAAGCTCTCTGAGCTGGTCCCTTGACCAATTTCCTTTCCTTAGCATTTCTACTGCATCTAACCACAGGGGTTTGGGAGGAGCACTCCACCCAGCATAATGCCACAGACAAGCAAGTACACTTAGAGTACCTATACAGCAGGTGTTTCAGGTGCAACATGCTGTTCCTACAGCATGAAAACAGAGACACACCACCTTTATGAACAGTGTTCCTCAAATCATTCATTGCAAAAAATTGTTTATCCAAGTAAGCAGTTTTAGTTGGCTTTCTAATAACTTCATTGCAATACAATTTTGTGTTTACAAGAAAACTTGCCTCCTGAGCAGCTGGCAGAAACCAGCAAATGCAGCATTACAGAAATTCAAGTGAGAAGAAGGGTATTTCCTAGGAGGACAATTTCCATTCAAGACTGGAAACAAGATGGGAAATGGCTGAAACAGACACCTGGATTGCCAGTGAAGGGCACTTTTCACTCCAGTGCCCAAGACCATTTGAGGTGAATGCAGGAGACAGGCACATGAACAAAAGCTGAGGCCCAGGACACAGGCAAAAGTCTGTGAAGAGACCTTACGGAGAGGGAACAGATGGAGAAACTTCAAGGAAAGCCGAATGTGTTAACAAGGTCATGTCTGGTGACGCTCGGTGTGCATGAGAGAGCATTCTCCTTTCTCTGGCACCTGAAAGGTCATCGAAACAGTGCAAGAAACCAAGCAGAGAGGAGAGCAGCATGATTGAAATCCTGACAGAAGAGGAGCACAGCCACCAGCCGGCTAAGAGCAGAGGCCATGAAAAGGGAACAGCAAACACGTTGCAGGTAGAAGTGAGAAACAGTGAACAATAAACTTTGATATAAAGATGCAGGCAGCAAATTATGTCAGAAAATAAAATAAATAAGCTGATTGGTGCTATTTCTTTGTCCTGAAGAGAGCAATTTTGTCAGATACATTATGAAAAGGGAAGGAAGTAGCAATTCAGCTGGCAGGGCCTGGCAGAGGCAGCAGAAAGAGCCTTCAAGGACAGTAAAACACTATTTGCATCCTTAGGTGAGGAACAATGACAGGAGGACAGAGACAGTCCATAAATACTGAACGCTGCACATCACCCTAGGGCTGCACAGCAAAAGAAGGCCTTGGAGGCAGGACGCAGGTCATTAACTTAAGGGAGCTGCTTCCTCGCAATGGCCCAGAGCGATGCTGGAACAAAATCTGCACAGGATTTAATCTGCTGAGGTAACTAAGCTCAGGGAGTAAACAGTGCAGCAGCAAACTCCAGAAAAGCTTTAGGAAAGATGACAGCGGCTCCCCATGGGAATAATTAGTAACAGCTCAAAACATTAGGCTTAAAGTGAGGAGTGGGGCAGCAAGGAGGGGAGCTGACCAGCTGGAAAGCAGTTTTGTAGAGAAGGACCTGGGGGTCCTGGTGGACTAGTTAACCATGAGCCAGCCATGTGCCCTTGCGGCCAAGGCGGCCAATGGTATCCTGGGCTGCATCAGGAAGAGTGTGGCCAGCAAGTCAAGGGAACTGATCCTCCCCTTCTACCCTGCCCTGGTGAGGCCACATGGAGAACTGTGTCCATTTCTGGGTCTTGAACTGGGGACAGTTTAAGAAAGGCAAAGAACTACTTGCAGAGGGTCCAGTGGAGGGCTACGAAGATGATTAGGGAACTGAAGCATCTCCCATACGAGGAAAAGCTGAGAGCTGGGCCTGTTTAGCCTGGAGAAGAGATGACTGAGAGACGATCTTAATGCTTACAAATATCATACCGATGAGTATGAAGAGGATGGTGCCCAGCAACAGGACACGGGACAATGGGCACAAACTGAAACACAGGAAGTTCTGTCTGAATACAATGAAAATCTACTTTGAGGCTCACAGAGCACTGGAACAGGGCTGCCCAGAGAGATTCTGGACTTTCCTCTAGACTTCTTCAAAACCTGCCTGGATGCAATCCTGTACAACCTGCTCTAGGTGAATCTGCTTTAGCGGGGGTTGGACTAGATGATCTCCAAAGGTCACTTCCAACCCCAACCATTCTATCAACCAAGCAGTTGAGCAGAGCCCACACAGGCTGCTCATACCTGTGTAACCTGTTGACACGAGAGGGTGAGAAATACAATCACCTGTAGATGCTGGAGTGTAAAGGATTCCCCGAAACTGACTATCCATGATAAGAAAAATGGAGAATTACAGGTATTCATCCAGTTAACCTTTTCTTCAAAAATATTACTGAACCCTTTTTCTTTCTGGCTCTTGTCAGGGGAGCAGTGACATCTATGCCTAGGTTCAGGCTAGACAAACACACATATCAGAAGAAGTGATAAGAGTCTCAAGTCACACCAACAGGGAAGTTGCACAACAGCAACACAGGGTCTTCCAAAAGATGATCAAACTACAGAAGAGTCCAATACTTGCCAAGGAACCTGATCTCTGTTCACCAGAAGATGAAGTAGATAACTTCAAGTAACTGATTCTGTCACTCAGAAGCAGCAACTCAAACCATATTTCTTCCTGTACAAACACTCTTAACACAGGGATTCTTACAGATGTAGGAAATCAGTCCCTGCCAACACCACACACAGCCAGGGTCACTTGATGACTGTTCCCACGTCAAAGGTCTCTGATGGATGAGAGAGCACATACTACAATGGTTAGCAAGAACAGTCAAGGAGAGGGGAGTAAGAAAGAAAACAGAAGCAAGTCAGACAAATCAGTGCCTGATTTAGTCAGGCACTAAATCAGTTACAGGGTACAGTGAAAGACTTAACCCAAGGTTTTAGAGCACAGAAAACCCCAATCCACGCATAGAATGGCTTGTAGGGTTTGCAAGCACATCAGATTTCTAAGACTGTCAAGTCTTACAGATAACTTCAGAAATAGTAAATAAAACCCCACAGCACTAGTAAGCAGTACCAGAACAAATGCTATCCAGAGGAGCAGAATCAGTTACAGTCTGTTAGGTAGAAATATCATCTGCACCAATGCCAGCTGGTCGATCAGCAGAAAGTGTGCATCACCACTTGCCTAACTTTCTTCGTATACAGTCCCGAATCTGGTATTGTAGTGGTACTCCACCAAGTGTAATAAGAGACCGCTACCTAAATCTGTCCCTCCAATTTTAAATGCACACCTGTAACCCTGCACTGTTAAAGAGCTGCAGTGCATCACTACACACAAGGCACAATCTAGCTAACTAGTTTAAGCATCCTTTTCTTCCCTCAGTCTCCTCTCCAACCTCATCCTACATAAACTGGTCTCTGCTGCACAGGAAGCATCTCCAAAAAGCTGGTCTTTTGTTAAAATAGCTAACAACGTTAAA